TTAAATATTATTCACTCTAAAAATCGGTTAGTGAAGAGTGTAACAAATATTTTTCGAATTTTGTTTTTTATTTTCTTTATTTTTCTATTTACTTTTAAAAAGCATACATATTTCAAAATCAAATTTTTGAACTCAGATTGTCAAAGTTAATGGTATTATTCAGTACGTATATACCGACTGAAAAGTTTTTACTTATGCAAGCTATCTTTTTAGCACTTTTCCAAAAAAATTTTTGAAAAAAGTGCTTATTAGTTTCACTCTGCCCGTCCGTCCGTCCGTCCGTCCGTGGACACTTTTTTTGTTTACAAAACTTCTACACCCTTGAAGATAGAAAGCTGAAATTTCATACGTACATAGATCTTCACTAGAAACTTATTTCCGTAGAACAAAATTTTTACCTATCTCCCCCCCTCTAGAAGTTATACCCCCCCAAAACCTTAAAAATGGCCTTTTTTAAATATTTGTTGCAATGAAACCATAACCATTTTTGAAATTTTGCAAACGCAGAAAGGCGGTGGCTTGCTTCCCCTAGCGCAATATACTGTAGTTAAACATTAGAAAAACAAAATGGCCGTTCAAATTTACCGTTATCTAAAGTCCTTTTTTTCCAAATTTTTGATGTCGTTTTTCTTCTAGACCCCAGCCTGTAGAAGCTTGAAATTTTAGGAGCTTTTAGACATTAACAAATAGTTCATTTCGTTAGAAGAAAATTTTTTTCCATCTCCACCCCCTCTCAAGTTATCACCTCTTGAAATTCGTAAAATTTGAATTTTTGACACCTTATATTTCCGAAACCGCAAGCTTTTCCAAATTTTTATAAACGCAAAAAGCTAACGGTAAATTCCATGAAATTAAAAAATATAATTATTTTTCTTAACTCACACAATTAACCCTTAAAATCGAGCGTTATGTTAAACCCTTTTTATATTAATTTTTGATTTATTTCAAACACTGCATATATGCGTCATCCTAAATATATGCAATTCTAGAAATAGTTTTGTATATGAATGAAAATAATTTTAATAGTGTGATAGGTATACATAGACTGTATTTAAAAGCAGAATTTTCACTTGTTGAAGGGAAAAGTGCTACAATACAAACCATTGGTTTGACCCAACTTTATTGTTATTTGATTCTTAAATTGTTGACTACATATTGTTAATGTGCAAAAAGCACAGTTTTATTTGTATAATTCAAACTAACTTATCTTGTTTCAACACAATTTTATCGTTTCTTAATATTATAATACGCTCATTACTGTTAATATCAATTTATGATAAAAACATAATCAATTTAATAAAAAATCCATCTAATTTTTTATTCGTTTTTAGCACTTTTCCAAAAATTTTTTGAAAAAAAGTGCTTATTAGTTTCACTCTGTCCGTCCGTCCGTCCGTGGACACTTTTTTGTTTACAAAACTTCTACACCCTTGACGATAGAAAGCTGAAATTTAATACGTACATAGATTTTTACTAGAAACTTATTTTCGTAGAACAAAATTTTAAATATCTCCCCCCTTCTAGAAGTTATAGCCCCCCAAAACCCTAAAAATTGCCTTTTTTAACTATTTAGTGCAATGAAACCATAAGCATTTTTGAAATTTTGCAAACGCAGAAAAGCAGTAGCTTGCTTCCTATAGCGCGGTATACTATAGCTAAACTTTAAAAAAACAAAATAGCCGTTCAAAATTATCGTTATCTAAAGTCCGTTTCTTTTCAAATTTTTGATATCGTTTTTCTTCTAGACCTCAGCCTGTAGAAGCCTGAAATTTTAGCGGCTTTTAGGCACTAATAAATGCTTCATTTCGTTAGAAGAAAATTTTTTTCCACCTCCACTCCCTCTCAAGTCATCGCCTCTTGAAATTTGTAAAATTTGTTTTTTTGGCACCTTATATTTCCGAAACCGCAAGCTTTTTTAAATTTCTATAAACGCAAAAAGCTAACGGTAAATTCCATGAAATTAAAAATTATAATTATTTTTAACCACTCGTTATATTAATATTTTGCTTTATTTCAAAAACTGCATAAATCGTTCATACTAAATATATACAATCCTAGAAAAAGTTTCGTTTATTAATGAAAATAATTTTAATATTGTGGCGGATATACATAGACTGTTTTTAAAAGCAGTATTTTCACTTGTTGAAGGGAAAAGTGCTACAATACAAACCATTGGTTTGACCCAACTTTTTATTAATTATTAGAATTATTAGTGGCACCAAAATTAATTTAATAAAAAAAAACTTTTTTATTTTTGAATATTTTTAAAACTTTTTAATTGTTGAAGTTATTTAACTCAACACTAACAAAGAAATTTTTTATAAAGTTCAAATGGCCACTGAATGAGTCTTGTATGGGAACTGTGATCTCTGAGAGTGTGAATAATCAGGGTCATTCCATCTTTGAGCCTTTCAGGTCGGCGAGACCTAACAACATAGCGGTGACAGAACTACACTACGCTCTTTATATGACAGCTACAAAAGGAGTAAGCTTAATAAAAATTGATATCACCGAGACGACATGCGTATCGTAAGAGGAGGGCAGCGGGAACGGTCCCCTATTCTTTGATGCACTATATTGAAAAATTTCCGTGACTTCAATAATGCGTTTACGACGTAAACTTTACAAAGTATCACATTCCAAAAATTTTAGTAAAAGCTCTTGACATTGTACATTTTTCCTAAATGCGTTCTATACGTTGTAAATGCGTAAAATAAAAGTAAATTGGGTATCGAAAAAATTGAGCGTGCTTTTCTTATACATTTCATATAAATGTTGCCAGAAATAACCAATTAAATAAACTAGCATATATTGTCAGCAATAAAATGCTAGTTATTAAGTTTTTTTCCTAAACTGCAGCATAAAAATGCTATGTTTTTAATGATATGGTAACGTTTGTTGAAAATAAACATTTACACAGAACTTTAAATTGAAATTTTGCAAGCAAACGTCAAAGTATGTATTAGTATTGTACAAATTTTATTCTAAAATGTATCAAAAGCTTTAGCAGTTTTTTTTACAATGTAAAGGTATTGAAAGCTGAATATTGAGGGCACCTTCAACAGTGTGAAATCACGGGTTATGTTTCAGACGCAACCGGAGCTCTCAATTCATGGGTGTCTCAGTGCCCTGATAGCGAACATGCTATCAGTCAGAACCATTAAAGTTAGCTTAGGTTAATGCATGGAATGCTGCGTTAGCAGGGGTACAAAAGAGAAGAAAGATGGTGTACTTTCTCCTCTTTTGTGGAACCTGGTGATTAATAAATTACTGGCATGGCTGGAGAAGGCCTGCGAAATGATAGCTACGCAGTTTGGGAAGCACCTTGATACCGTAAATGGGCTGATCCAAACGGTTAAATTTTAAATTTTAAGTTAAAAAAAGGCAAAATTCAATCGTTTTCTATTTTATTAGGACCAACATTTTCATAGTTTTGTGTTTAAGTAACTTCAAAAAACTGATTTAAAAAAGCCTGTGTATTTGAAAATTCAGTTTTTACTATTCTAGTAAACAGTATAAGAAAATTTTTCAAAGCTTTATAAAATTTGAAAAAAATTTACAAAGTTTTTACATGCAAAGCGTTTGGAATAATACTTTTTGAACAAAAATGAGCGAAAATGATAACGTTTTCATTTTCTCAATATTTAAAGCTTTCTCAAATTTTTAAAGTAAAATTTAGGGTTTTAAAAACTTGTTTTTCTTGGTTATATCAGAAGTTTTCGAAAAAAAATTCTTCATGAACCCTTTTTCTTTTTCAACAAAACGAATTGCCAAATGGTTTTTTCTAAGTCTCTCACTTTTATTATTTAAAATTGAAATTTTCGGTTTTTTGCATAACCAAAAATTTTTTGTTTATATTTGTTAAATATTTTAAAATTTGACTTTAATCACCTATTTATAAAACGTTTTAATTTTTTTTTTTTTAAATTTTCCATCTGGTGTTCTAGTTCGATTTTTTTCTTTTTGCGAAAAATTACGTCCTTGTTTCTGTTATTTCAAGTTTTCTACCAGACAGCCCTAGTAGACTTACGTTAGAGTTAAAAATGTCAATTAAGTGTTTTTTAAAATCAAGTGAATTAGTCATTCCTTGTCTATTCCTTGTGTATTCCTTGCTTCCAACTACATTTTTGATGTAGTCAAATATAAGCACAAAAAAATTGTTTGCTCATACATATTTTTTTCTGTGAAATTTTTCGACAGAAAAGTATATCTTCACATTCATATTTCTGCTAATTTGTAATAGGTTTGTCCAAGATAAAATTCTTCAGTAAACTTTTTTAAAAAGTATAACATTTTTGTCCTCTAAAAAAATATTATTAACTTAGATATTTCTCTTAATTTTATGCCAAGATATAAATCTTGGAGAGAACTGAAATGTATCGTTACGACAAGAGTGTAGCTATTCTGTTATGAAAAAAAACTTCTACGATTGAAAAATACCCTGACTTCAATAATGCTTTATAAAAAGTTTAAGTATCGTATTAATTGTGATTGTAGTCCCGCCTCAGAACTTTCAATACCTTTACATTGTAAAAAAAACTGCTAAAGCTTTTGATACATTTTGGAATACAATTTTTACAATATTAATATGTACTTTGACGCTTGCTTGAAAATTTCAATTTAAAGATTTGCACAAGTGTTAATTTTTAACAAACGTTACCACTTCATTAAAAACATAGCATTTTTATGCTGCATTTTGGGAAAAAACTGTAAAATTAGCAGTTTATTGCTGAAAATATATGCTACTTTACTTGGTTATTAAGAAAAGCGTGCTCGAATTTTGCGATATCCAATTTACTTTTATTTTACATATCCACTGCATATAGAGCGCATGCAGGAAAAGTGTACAATGTAAACAGCTCGTGTTTTCAATAATGCTTTAAAAAAGATTTAAGTACGGTATTAATATGGTTGTAGTACCGTCACAGAGCTTTCCATACCTTTACATTGTAAGAAAAACTACTAAAATTTTTCGTACATTTTGGAATACAATTTTCACCATTGAATACAACTTTGACGTTTATTAGATTTCAATTTAAAGTTCTGTGCAAATGTTCATTTTTATAAAACGTTAACACATCATTAAAAACATACCATTTTTATGCTGCATTTTAAGAAAAAAAACTTAGCAGGGGTACAAAAGAGAAGAAAGACTTTGTACTTTCTCCTCTTTTGAGGAACCTGGTAATTAATAAATTACTGGCATGCCTGGAGAAGAGCTGCAAAATGATAGCTACGCAGTCTGGGAAGCATCTTGATACCTTAAATGGGCTGATCCAAACGGCTCTTAACATTGTTTCTGACTGGGCTGTTGACTGCGAACTGAGTATTGATCCATAAACGTCGAAATAACTTTTTTCAATAGTAGATACGAAGTACCAAGCATAGTCCACCGAAACTCAACGCAATGCACATATCATTAAGCTTGGAGATTAGATTCCCCAGTCTGATTCTAGATTCGATATTGAACAGAAAGTCAGCTATTATGCACAGAGAAAGGGAACCAAGTATTGCGCTCCACTCACCTGGAAGTAGTTGGGCCTAATCCAACCATGGTTTATTGGCTATACACCGCAGTGATGATATTCAGTTTCTGCACACCATTAAAAATGCATAAAAAGCCTTTTAAGATTCTATTCAAAACTTTCAGTGCATGTACGAAATATTGAGAAACCATATTCTACGAAAAAAACTGTCAAAAAATATAACTGTCAAAAAACCAAACAAAAGAATAATATCGAAATAAGTTCTTAATCAAAACCAAAGTTCAATAGGAATGTTCATATTTTTTATTTACATAGAGAAATAACTACATTCTTCTTTATTACCTCCTTGAATCTCGCCTTTTCAGTATGTCAAATATTACATCAGAGGTATTTATTTTATTTTCATCTGTTAATTCTTCTGCATCTGAATCACTGAGGCTTTCCGCATTTAACAGAGGTATTTTTTGTTTGATCGCATTTGATGGATTTTTGCTAAGAACTTTTTTCTTTTCTTTAAGTTCAACGTGTTTAATGCTTTCATTGGAAAATAATACTACATATTTATGTACTACATGACAACATATACCACCTAAGCATAATATTAGACCAGCCATGTTGAAAACACTCAAAATATCCCCATTTAACTGCACCGCTAGTATTAATTGACATATTTCCTGCAATACATACATATTCCAATATAAGAACTTTATTTGTCAATTAGTTATACATACCTTAAAAATCCCAGTGATTGACAATGTCAAACTCGAAGTGTGTGAGAGTACTAAATACTCACTAATTTCCATTATGAAAGCAACGACACCGCCAAGCGTAATTTTTATTAACACATAGTAGAAATCTTGTCCGTCAATAGTTGCAAAAGCATTCCAAAGCTTCGGGCCTAATGTAATTTTATTAAATGATTTGTAAAAAATCTTTTGTTTAAAAATAATTTGTAGAAATACGTTCCTCTTTGAGTTTTTGATACAAACCACGGCAAACAGAAATACAAGTCTGAGCGCCATTTTAACATCATAAATCTGAGATAAATTTCAACTTTTTTTAAATTTTTAGTTAGGAAAACACAAAATTCAATCGTTTTCTATTTTATTAGGGCCAACATTTTCGTAGTTTTATGTTAAAGCAACTTCAAAAAACTGATTTAAAAAAAGCCTGTGTATTTGAAAATTCAGTTTTTACTATTCTAGTAAACAGTATAAGAAAATTTTTCAAAGCTTTATAAAATTTGAAAAAAATTTACAAAGTTTTTACATGCAAAGCGTTTGGAATAATACTTTTTGAACAAAAATGAGCGAAAATGATAACGTTTTCATTTTCTCAATATTTAAAGCTTTTTCAAATTTTTAAAGTAAAATTTAGGGTTTTAAAAACTTGTTTTTCTTGGTTATATCAGAAGTTTTCGAAAAAAAATTCTTCATGAACACTTTTTCTTTTTCAACAAAACGAATTACCAAATGGTTTTTTCTAAGTTTCCCATTCCTATTATCCAAAATTAAAAGTTTCGGTTTTTTTCATAACCAAAAAATTTGTGTTTATATTTAAATATTTTGAAATTTGACTTTCATCGCCTATTTATAAAGCTTTTAAGTTTTTTTTTTTCAAATTTTCCATCTGGTTTTTTTAGTGAGATTTTTTTCTTTTTGCGAAAAATTACGTCCTTGTTTCTGTTTTTAAAAGTTATTTCAAGTTTTCTACCAGACAGACCTAGTAAGTACTTATATTAGTGTTAGAAATGTCAATTAAGTGTTTTTGAAAATCAAGTCATCAAGTCATTTAAGAATATGAAAAAATTGAAAGTTATGTATTCCTTGCTTCCAACTACATTTTTGATGGAGTGGTGGATATTTTTTTCTGTGAAACTTTTCGACAGTTGGTTATTTAGTTGGTTATTTTTGGCAATATTTATATGACATGTATAAGAAAAGCGTGCTCGAATTTTGCGATACCCAATTTACTTTTATTTTACATATCCACTGCGTATAGAGCGCATTCAGGGAAAGTGTACAATATCAACAGCCCGTGACTTCAATAATGCTTTAAAAAAGATTGAAGTACGGTATTAATATGGTTGTAGTACCGTCTCAGAGCTTTCAACACCTTTACATTGTAAGAAAAACTACTAAAACTTTTCGTACATTTTGGAATACAATTTTTAACATATGAATACAACTTTCACGTTTATTTGGATATTTCAATTTAAAGTTTTGTGCAAATGTTCATTTTTATAAAACGTTAACACATCATTAAAAACATAGCATTTTCATGCTGCATTTTAAGAAAAAAACCTGATAACTAGAACTTTATTGCTGAAAAAATATATGCTAGTTTATTTTATCGGTTATTTCTTGCAACATTTATATGACAAGATATAAGAAAAGCGTGCTCAATTTTTTCGATACCCGATTTATTTTTATTTTACGTCTCCACTACGTATAAAACGCATTTAGGAAAAGTGTACAATGTCAAGAGCTTTTACTAAATTTTTTGGAATTTGATACTTTGTAAAATTTACGTCGTAAGCGCAGTATTGAAGTCACGGAGCTTTTACTAAACTTTTTTTGGTGATACAAAATAACGTTTTTGTAAAGCTTACGTGTTAAGCGCATTATTGAAGTATTATGATTTAGTTTAATAATATTTTGATAAAACAAAAAACCATTGATTAAGTTAGAATACTTTAAAAAAAAATTTACAAATTATTAAAGCGGAAGAGTATTACGCAGAAAAATTTGGTTAATTTGAAGACTTTTGGAAAATAATTGAAAACAAATCGATTGAAGTAATTCATTTTCACTAGTACAAGTAAGCAATTGAAAAGTGTAGAATTTTTTTTAATTTATGAAAATATTTTTAATATTTATAGCTTCAGATACTACCATCCAAAAACAGGAACTTTTTATAAAAAAAGAAGGGAAATCTCCAGATAGCAATAAGAGAAATGGATCCACACCTTATTTAAACAGATCAATATCACCTTGCAAAACAAAAAATTAATTAAAAACAAAAAGGAAATTTTAGAAAACAATATGTTTTTCCAAATAATAGAAATATTATTACTGCAAGATTTATGAAACTGCTGTGTAATTGCGTAAATAAAGCAAAGAAAACTTTTATGATTATTGGACTTCTGAAGCTACGTACTGCGTCAAACATTAAACAAATTTATAATATTAAAAAAAATTAAATAAAAACCGCATAACAATATCAAAAATTTAAAAAAAATGTAGGCAAAAAACAATTGAATACTACATTGGATTGTGAGCTAAACGAATAACAGTATGTAAATTATGCATTTTTGTTGAGAATCATCCGTGAAATTATTTGTAGCCCTATGCAAAATAACCAGTTTTCTTTAAAAATATTACTGCTCATTTTGTAAAAACCTTTTCTTCTTCCCGTAAAACGCCCAAAAAAGATCTTAACAGACTTTTTTTTTAAATAAATTAGGTACTTATTTCAGTACAGTGATATTTTTCTCAATATAGTAGAAATGTACTCTAGAGTGTAGCTAGAGTAATAGAAAGTTACAAAAACGCGGATATAAACCATTACAAATCTGTATATCATTATTGCTCCCCTTTATCAAAAATTTTCAAGACGCCTATAAAATCAACAATCCTAAGCATCTTAGATAAAACTTTGTCTATATCAGTCCATCTCAGTTTAAATTTTTAACAACTAAGGATGGCGTTATTCGATAATTATGATTTCAAATATCATTCGCCAAATCCGATTTTATTAAGTCCCTACGGTAATATTTATTTATTCAATTATCTTGCTTCGCGTCACAAATTGTGTTTTGATATTGAATCAGTCGTCAACAACAAAACCAAAATGTTTAGATAATAGGATATGCTGACCCGAAAACTCTAGTAACCTAACAAAACAATTTAGCGTTGTGATAAGACAATTCTTTCACCAATAACATTGTACATAAACATAACTTTTGGAAGAAGATGTCACCAACTTGTGAAAATAATAGAACAATTTGTCCCATAACATAAATTCATTAGCGACTATAACAGGGATCAAGCCCTTTAAAAAACTGTTTATTTGAAGGTTCTATCTTTTTCGGGAAGGAAGCAAAAAAAACTTAGACAAGTAGAAATTTCGTGAAAATCCCTGTACCTCGGACACCGTTGAGATTTGACACCTAGTTCTGCAAAAAAATATTACTCATGCCCTAACTGATGGTATATATTATGTCACTGATTACAGAATCTGTATTTAAATATTAAACTTTTACTTAAGGAACTTGAAAATAACTTGCTAATACTTGTTTGAGTATTTCGAAAAGCATTCGGCTATATACATAAGCATTGTCTACCATTAATTTTATTAGAAGTTCAAATTGCTTCTTTTTGTTATTCTTTTAATTCTGTAAAATACAAAAACTCAAATCAGTATAAAAATTAATGGAGTAAAATCTTTGGTATAATATCAATAAAATAATTTTTGTAACTACTAATGTCCTCGATTTTACTATTTTATTTATACATTTACGGCCTGATCGTGTATCTCGCTTTTTTTCTTTTTATTCACTTTCAGAATTCTAAGTATTTTCTAATGGATGTTTCACTTTTCCAATAAGATTACTCAATTTTTAATTGGATTTTTGCATTTTTTCTCAAATTATCGACTGAATGTTTTACTTACAAGGATAAAGTGAAAAACTTTTGTATACAATTTGAAAAAAAAACGAGATACGTAGTCGGAATAATTCTTTTCACTCCAAAATTACATTATACAAGTATATGATAGTTACTCACTTGCCGAGTAAAATAACGAGATAGACGATCAGACCCTAAACCTAGAAAACCCAGACGTAACGGTCAATTAAGGGCAAATATTAAGGCGATAAAAATGTCATTTTTTGTTACACGTTGTAAAAAAGGTTTTACAGAAAGAGCACACGCGATAGTTTTCGTATACTACCTTAACTACATTTACAAGCATTCATAATTCACGTAAATTATTTCATAAACTCTATATTAAAAGTTCGTATAATTCTTTAAAGAAATGTACATATGTGAGTTAAGTTATCAGCCAGTATGAATTCCACTCGCAGAATCCTAACCTACGAACTTATCTACGACGTAGATTTTTAAGTGATCAAGTATTGAATCAGCAATGGCAGCGCCATTTTTTGGAGTGATAAGATCTTATTTCAACTTTCATTTATACATATTTTTTGCTGATATTTGAATAAATATCTTAAAAGTTTTGAGGTTTTTTATATATTTGAAAAGTGAAATTTTTTTTTACAAAAGCTACCTTCATTGTAGCTGCGTTAAAGGAAGGAGAAAATGGAGAATTTTTAACTTTAGAGACAAATTAAAAACGATTGTTCCTTTTAAATTGCTTGTTACGTGTGATTATTTCGACTTTTTACATGTACTTTTACTATCAACGTATGATTATGTACTCTACTATGAATTAACGGAACAGAATTTTATTAACTCATAAGTTACATATCAATCCGCGATTGGGCGGGCTATTTTCCTACGAACAATAATAAAAATACAGGAATCCCTCGATATACGTCGTTTTTGGTTCCGGCCAAACACGACGTATATCAAAACAACGTATATCGAAAACCCATATAGAAAAAGTATGTTTTTTTACTAGAAAAATACTGATAAATACATAGTTGTACGTTTGCATATTTATTTAAAAATTCGTACATCTAATACATCATACCTTCGTAATTAATTATACATATAATATGTTCGTTTTTATGTAATAATAAGTCTTTAAGTTCACAAAATGTAAATATGCATGTTTTTATTTAGATACATACAACATAGTAACAAATGCAACAAAACATAAAATTAAAGCATAAACAAAACGAAATTAACAAAAAAAAATATAAATATATATCTATGTACTTTGTACATACATTATGCAAAATTCCAAAATTCATCATTATGCATAAAAAAAAAATTTCTCAACGACGTACATATATCAAATCTGAAACAACGTATATTAAGAACGAGGAACAAAAATCTCGCCGACGTATATCAAAACGACGTATATAGGGCCGACGTATATCGAGGGATTCCTGTATGCCATTTTACAAATTTAGCACTAATTTTGTTTGTTCAGTGAATCATATTTTTTTTTCTCAATTCACTCTTGAATAGTGAAAAAATTATGATTTTACTCAATTTTTTAAATTTTTAATTAAATTGTAAATGTTATAATAATAAAATTATAAATAAACTATATGTATCTAAGTGCATCATATAGAAAATGCATCATGATCCTCTGCAATTTAGTATGGAAATGATGATAATTATTTATACTTAAGATATGTAATATTGTATATTTAGTGCTCATATTTCTATCTTAAAATTATGTATTACTATATTTAATTACTGAAAATATCTCCTAATGTAATTAAACTAAATATGTATACACTTAAACTCCCTAAAAAAAATTGTGCGAGTTTTTAATATGTACATATACTTATATATTTCAGGGTTCCCTGACATCTCATCATACGAGACATTTCATCATTGTAACATTTCATCACTGTAACATTTCATTATTATAGCAATTCATCATTGTACATTTCAACACTATAGCAATTCGTCATTATTGTATGATGAGGTGTCTGGTCACCATATTTATGTATATGAGTGTTCAGATTATATAGGTGGCAAATATATCATACATACATAATTAGTAAACAAATTTTTGTCAAATGTAAATTTTTTCAAATTTTAAAACTTCACGTTAGATTTTTCGAGTTTAAACTTTAATTTACGTTAGAACGAGAGCATCTTTTATATCATAAAATTAGAGCATAGGAAAACATAAAAAAGAATTTCAATTTTGAAACGCCTGCTATTGAGAACTTTTTATAAGGGTTAAGATTTTCTGCGAAAAGGAATTTGATAATTCCTATTTAAATTAAAGGCCCCATCTTATATCACCTTTTTACCCACGGCTGGGAGATATACAGGCCTGGACCCTAAAAGAGTGTGACAGTTCACCGCTGACGACTTTATGTTCTATAGAGGACCCTTTTCAACATTATAAATCTCCCAAAAGATCAACTTTTTTCTATAATGCCATATAAATGTATCAGGCCGTCAAGCTCAGAGAGCAAATCAAAAATAAATTCCAAATTTATCTGAAGTTTAAATAGAAGGGATGTCGGAATTTATTTGTGTGAAGAAAATTTATCAATATTTTTGGGTCTACCGATTTTATATATTTTTCTAAATTTAAATATTAAATTTAAAAAAAAAAACGATTGGTAAATTCCATCTGAAAGATGTTTTTAAAAAAAAAACAAAATTTCAGTAGCGCATACAACCTATCTTGTCTTTCAAATGGAAGGGAACTGAATTACAGAGTAAAATAGAATTTCAGTATTAATTACAAAGTAAAATAATTTCAGCTTGGTGGCCTGATAGATATACATATGTATATGGCATTATTTTTCTACTTTACTAGTGCTTACATTCTTAAAGTTTTGTGTTATTAAAACATTAAAAATGTGATTTAAAAAAAATCCTTCCAGGATTCCATAAATGCTACACTACAAACAAAAAAAAAAAATAGTGCAATTTTTTTTTTCGAAGTATTCAGTTGATTTTGGTGTATTTTTTCAAATTTAAAATATACATTTGATATTAACGAGTTTGCAGATTTTGTATGATATGTCTCCCGAAATGTATACTTCTGATAAAATCACGTACATATATATCTACATATTTTTCATGTGTATACTAAATTAATTAAATTTACATGCTTTGTAGCTCATAAAAAATTTTGCATATGTGAATTCTTTTTATATCAAAAGTCCATATATGTAATTCTTTTTAGATATGTATGTGATTTTAGTTTTATTAGGAAATGTTTTCACACTGTTAGTAAGCCTAATTGACTGATTTCCCTAAACTACCGCACCAAAAACTTTAACGCTTATACAAGTTTCTTTATAATATTTTTATTATGTTTGTTTTTATATAGGGAACAACTTGAAACGACGCATCTTTTATAATTATTATAAAATTTTAAAACCACTTTCATAATTATAAAACTGTATATCAAATAATTACAAAGTTAAATTAAAATCTAATAAAATTTTTTTAACTTATTTTAAGTTGTGTATTCTAGACAAAAAAATATAGTACCAAATTTTTTTTATTCACTGTTAAATCATTTTTTACTCTCAATTTTCTCAGATACGTGAGGTTGTCTGACATGGCGATACAAAAAAAATGCGGAAAAAACTCGAAAATATATTAAATCAAAATTATAGTTAAAAGTTTGAATTGAAATTTGAATATTTTATATGTTGTTGAGAAATTTCCATACTTTTCGTATTTAAAACTCGAACTGAAAACAGGTAAAAATCATCATTTTTCTAAGCAAACAACAGGAAAAAATGATTCCTCAGAAATGTCATTTCGCAGGAGTTTTTACCCACTATATGAGAAAAGAAAGGGACAGTATTCCATATTCTTGTAATGCAATTTTTAAGTAGAAGATTTTCGCTTTTCACATCTCGTTTTCCCCCAAACTTTTCAATTTAATTTATATATATGGTCATTTAAGTTTCAGCGCCTAAACAAGTAATACAAAACTGGCCAAATATCAATTAATATTAAACTTTAGCAATAACTCCTTAAATGTACATAGGTATGTATGTAAATTTACATATATATTATATATATAATACATATATAATACAAATATAATATATATATATATAATATATATATTTAATATAAAATATATAATATAATATAATTTACATATATAATACATAATATTTAAATTTACAGACATAGATAATATACATAGACATGTTTAAACAATTTTAATCAAGAAAATAGTATAAAACAAAAATAAAATATATATTATTGATTAAAAAGTATTAAAAATATTATCAGACTTTATAAAAAACTGCCTAAACTGTACCTTAAACTAAACGGTGGTAATCTGTTAATACCTATTATAGAAACTCTGAGAATTATTCTATTACCTCGGAATCTTGTACTTAAAACATGATTAATAATTGAAATGCAATATTGTTGAAATGTTACTGTAACCGAAATTATTTAAATTTTGTAATCATAAATCGTTTGTTGAAATTAATAGCAGGTAAAATCGTTTGAATCGTTAATAACAGGTAAAATTTTACTAAAATATAAATTATGAGTAGAAAACAAAATATTAAGCCAAAAATATTTTTAAAATTTTATTTAGAGGAATCTGTTACTAGAACCCCAGCTTAATACATATTAAGCTTATTTTTATTTAGAATATAGTTTTTGAATTTGAGGATTATTTTATTTAATGTATTTAATTTGCTATTCAACAGGAGAACTCCAGATGCAATAGACCTACCAGGTACAATAGATCTACTAGTTTAATAGACTGTTTATTATATTTAATTCAATTAATTGATTGCAGAACATATTAATGGAAAAAGTAAAATTTCATTAAATGAAATAATGAAATTTTTTTAAAACAAATATTGAAGCCCGACATCATTTATCATTCACATCTTGTGAACCTATCATTGATACCTAATGATACAGCTATTTACCATTCACTAATTGTTCATTTTGTGAGATTAGTTTTTCTTTCAATCATTTTCCCTTTCATTCACTTATTGTGACAATGATGAAATTATGTTATTTTTCGTGATTTTTTTAATTTGACGATTATTACTACGTTAAATTTTCTGTAGGATTTAATATTTTCGCAAATTTTGTTTTATTTTATGTATGTAGTGTATTATATTTTTTATTTTGTTAAACTTACATTTTGCAAAGTTTAACAATTTCCACAAAAAAACTTCAACAAATTTTCAAATATGATACCTTGTTCCTTAAAAAGAAATTGAAAAAATAATAAAATTTCTGACATTCGCGATACTAACGGGCCTCTTTCACTAATTTTCCTTTGATACATTTTTGTGACAATGGTGATAGTGGATATTGAAATGAAATTTACATCCGCAGATGTAAATGCTATAAAATGACGTATGCACAAGAAAGTGTATGTAAAAAGTGATTGTCACAATTGCTTGGAGTTTGAGAGTATTTTTTTAACGACGCGCTTAAAAATTTTCAATATAATATAGCTTTATAGGTTTTTGGTTCTATTTCTAGTATATACTTGATTTTTGATTGTAAAATTATTGCATAAATTATTTTTAAAGGACTTCGCTCTCGTATGGTCGAATTTCGAAAATATCCCAAAAAAAGTAGAATTCGGTGACTTTTCTTTTTTCTTGAACCCTCCACTTCAAGAGCCCATTCAATCATGAAAATTTGTACGTAGACATCTTATATCCCATACGATTGCAATGCAAATCAGAAGGAACCATCTAAAAATAGTTTGGGCTTAAATATCTGTTTTTGTATAAAAACTAATATTTCTGGAACCTACACATTGTACAATGACAACATTTCGATACTACACATTATCCTCGATAACACTTATTGAAGCTTTTATCAGAAGTTTTTTAGAACCCGATTCGAGGCACGAATTTTAGCAAAATATCCAAACAAGACTTTGAGAAGTTTTCCATGACCGTGTTCCATAAACTTTTTAGATTTCATCATATATTCGTAATTAACTAATTCAGAATTGATAAATTACCTTCAAATCCCAACATAAATGGCAATAATGAAAAAAACATCCACGGCTGCATGTAAAACATCATATCAATTGGATTACAAAGACCTAAAATGAAAACTTTTGATTGTCTTATGCATTTTATTCTTTCATTTTTAATTTATTACAAATCACAGGTATTAAAAAGGGATAAACTAAAAAATTTTTTGCATTCACCTAACGGATCATTTTTCAACTTCAAATATAGGTCGTTAGGAAAACTGATTGAATGTATGCACATACATATGTACATATGTATGTAAATTAAAAGTACTTATAACATTTAAAACTAGTACTTTTCCAAATTAATAATTTAAAATAAAAAAATCTTTTTTCAATTAGAGAAAAGCACTTAGCGTTTTTTAACTAAATCTTTTTTTCTTAAATGCCGCGTCTAACTGACTTAATGTAGGTGATAGGGAGAATACTGGTTATAGAATATTTTCGTGATATCGTACCATTTCCAATTAAAATATTTTAACATTGTGTTGTTTACATTTTGAAAAAAAGTGTAACGTACAAAAAATCACTTTTTACAAAAATTTTTATGAAGGAAATTTTTACTTTTAAAAAGTGATACTGATTTATTGATTGAAGTACATATACATATACGATAACTTTATAAAATATTCTAAAATTACATTTCTAAATATTTTAAACTTGTAAGAGAAATTTACGTTTTTCACAACCATGTTAATAAAATAGGAAACAAATAGTTTTTTGATCGTTATTTGCAATTTTCGATCAAATAGGATAAGGACTAATTGCAATCCTCTCTATCTTGCTATGTAATATCTTTAATGCCAATCAAAAAAACCGAACAGGTAATTGGAATTTAGGAAACTTCAGTTTCTTTGTGAATAAATATAAAAATGGGTTTGAAATACATACCAAATTTAGAAGTTTGCATAATCATTTGTGCAAAACTCCATCGCAATCCGCTAGCCATAGACGCAATTAATAAAAACACAAATCCAAAAGCATCAAAGCTGGTTGATTTGTATGTAAACATGAACAGGCCAGAAGCTATCATACATACTATAAAAACGAGAGAGACAGCCTAAAAGTATTGAATTTATTATATTTAAAGGTTTTCACATTTAAATCCTACCATACCAGCTTTTCTAATTTTAATAGTATAGCAAAAATCAATATAAAGATAATTGCACTAGACTTGGTCATAGTATAAAGGGAAACAGTTACAAGTTCCAAACCCCAATTAGAAAATCCAATATCAATTCCAGAAGCTATTCCTGTTGGTCCTATTGTTCTCACTGAGGTAAGAACATCTATGTTTGGTAATGTTCTTGAATAAATTTTTTGCGATACGAGCCTCACAAAAGCAGCCAAAAAAAATTTCAATATCAGGTGAATAACCACTATTGTCAAAGGATATTTCACAGCCTAAAATGAAACATTTATATTAATACATATTTTTCGGGTGTATTACACGTATGCACGTCTTCGGATGGAACGTATGCACATATGTACTTTTCAGTGTTTATACAGTTCATTTATATTTAGAATATATAATAGACAAATGCTAAACTTGAATATTATGTACCTTTAATATCCATTTCTGATAAAACGTGAGGCATATTGACAATCCCAAGTATAGAATAATAAAAGAAAATATTTTGAAAACTGACATTGGTTTTACAAAAATGTTCGATTTTAAAAAACGAGTATTTTCATTAGTTTCATGGATATCCAAAACTTCCGCCGACAAAGGAACATTTAACTGTTTGTACGAGATTTCGAATGCCATCAAAAAACAAGTGAAAATAACTATGGGAAAACAAATTTTTTTCCATTACTTTATTTAAGAGTAATAACGTCAAGATAGAAGTAATATTCATAGTGCTTAAATATAACTGCATCGGCAACGGCGGCAGCAAAATTACGATAAATCTTAAATAGGGATGCGATGACTGTTACATTTGTAAGGCTTTTTTTACGTTTTTAGCTGTAGCATTGACATTACAAAAAATCAAGGCCTGGACCAATGGTGTTATTTTCAACTTGTCTTTCAGTAGCATTTTGTCTCGAAAAAAGTTGAGAGCACTAATGTAGTACTTTGCATATTAACACCTGCCTAAATAAATTATTTGTTTTGTGATTTCAAATCAGATTTCGTTTATGAAAACAATTATATTTTTCGCAACTTTTTAATTTTAAGAACAACAAGTTTGAAACAGAATTTTGTAACGAATTTACAAAAGAAATAATAAAATAAATAATAGGAATATATGTATTGCAAAGGGGTGAAACGAATTATATTTATTTTCAATAATATATATTATTAATAATTGTAATTTATTTTTATATTTATAAATTAAGTAGTTTGCACATTTTCTAGCTTTCTAAAGACTTTTTTACTATTTTACGGAATTACATTCAAACCCAAAGAATTAGAAATAGTAAAGAAATTAGCATCTTCGTTTCTATCTCGCTTACACTCCCTTAAAAATAGTATCTTGAAAAAAAACATAATGAAACCAAAAACTTCAGATAAGTTTCTTTCTTTGCTCCGAGCATTGTCAAATGAAAATTAACATTGTTGCCAAATGCCAAATGTTGTTTTTTTTCTTAGAAAATTACGCGCCGCCATATAAAAAGTAAACAAAGAAGATTTTGCTATTTTATTTTTAAAATTATAGCGGTTTGCAAATAAAAAATATTTATATTAATAATAAATGTTCAAAAAAATTATAGCAAGTGAAAAAAAAAATTTGTTGAAAGAGAAGAGTCGTATATTTTTAAATTGTTATTCCCATTTGCAAAAACAAATAATTTTTTTTACACTATATCATGTGAATATTATTCACTTCAATAATTAAAAGAAATACATATTTATTCAATAGTGGTTTTGTTTCATAACTTCTAATTTTATTAAGTTTTTAGTTTTGCAAACAAAACATATGTTTTTGTTTTGTATTAAATTATAACTACTTCGAATATCATGCCTTTATCAGGACCGGTTTTTTTTAAGCAAAATGAGTTTGTGTTTGCGTACAAATAAATATTTTAAATGATTTTTTTGTATAATTACAGTTTTCCTAGAAATGACGAAATGATATATATTTCCCTTAAAAAAATAAATGAAGACGTCCCTGACAAATGAAAATAAATGACGGCTTTGAATTCAGTGAAATAAAATATAAGCGTGAATTATTCATATTCAAAAATATTTGAATGGATTAGTATGTAAAGTGAAGCTGAAAAATTGAATGGATTAGTATGTAAAGTTTAATTAATGAAAAAGGAAGAATACGACAACATACCATCTACTCCAGCGCGTAAGAACCATCATATTAATTAAAATTCGTTAAAAATTATACTGTTTTAGAGTCATTAGGACTTATATGAATTTACGAGTATATTAATTGCTGTTATTGATATTGATTAGAGTTGTTTAGCAACATTATCAGACAAAACTGATAATATAAGACATTTTTTGAGATATGTTCATTTTCGAGGTTCGTAAAATATTGTGTTATTGAAATACTTATGAATATTTGCAATTTATAAAATAAATTTATTCAAAGCGAAAAAAAATAGAATGAGTTTTTTTCTTCACAGATATCTAAAATAAAAAAATATTTTGAAATATTTTTTAGTTTTTACTATCAAAAAAATTTTTAATTTATCCTTCTTACAAATTACATAATATTTTATAGTAGAGGCCAGATGACAAAATAAAGTAAATACGCTCCTGTTGCCACTTGGACAACGCTCGGAACAAAGAAAGGGACAACTAGAAAAAATTTGGATTCATTGTTTTTTCTAGATGATCCTTCCTTTAGCATTTCTAATTCGTTTTTCAAAACAAATTTGAATGTCTTTAATTTTCTTAATGCACCTGCTCTTAAAACTTTGCATTTACACATACTTCATACTAAAAATGACAACTGCAAGTTTGCTATCACGGTGACGTTTTTTGAACAAGGTTCTAAATTTAATTTTTTCTGTTGTACAAGTGTTTTTGTAGGAAAAATACAAGTGATATTTTTATAAACGAATAACATTTTCTAGTCTATAAAAGTAGTAAAAATGACTTTGCAGTAGTATGGTAGAATGAAATGCCAAAATGTAGTAAAAAACTACAATTATAATAATAATTAACAACACTGGGCTGGGTCCTGCTCTTTTGTGATTTGTTAAAATTACGTATTATGTACTTTTGGCGAAATGACATTTCTGAAGAATCACTTTTTTTGTTGTTTTTTTGATCAATTTAATACTATATGCAAAAAATGCATCTTTCCTTTCTTGTAGTTTAGCATTTGTTGAAATCTTACAAAATTGAACGGAGCCTGGAAGATGATTTTAAATCAATTTTTTAATGATTTATTAACACAACACTTAAAAAATGTAAGCACTAGTAAAGCAGAAAAATATTGAATTTTAATTTTTTCTGATTAAAAATTTAAAAAACGTTGATCTTGTGGGAGATTTATGATGATAAAAAGAGCCCTCTATAGCTTCCATAAGAATACGTGTTAATTTGTCAGCTGTGACACTGTAGACACGGCATACAAGCATGCACACTATAGGAGAGAATGACAGTCAAAATTATTCATTTTGCCAAAAATACATACATACATATGTAAATTTAACAAATTCATTCACAAAAAAAGTAGGATCCAGGCCTTGATTTTTTGTAATGTCAAGCCTGTAGTTCTGTAATGATTGCAATTTTGACATTTTAAGAACTTACTTTGTTCTAAAATTATCATGTATGTACATATGTATGTACATATTTTCCCTTGCAACGCATATTTATTTTATTTTTCTTTATTTTATAATTCATCTCAAAATGAGCCAAATTGAACTTATTATCGTAATCAACATATTTTGTATTTTTATGTGTATCTTCTAAGTAAATTATGAGTATCTTCTTTTCAACATATCTATTTACTATATTAAAATTGTTTGCCTTTTAATTAATATTACAATGCATGTTGGCACTATATCAATTTCAAAATTTACGATAATACCGTGACTTCAATAATGCGCTGACGACGTAAACTTTACAAAGTATCACATTCCAAAGGGTTTAGTCAAAGCTCTTTTTTAGCATTTTCTTTATTTTTGGATATTCCTCAACGTAACAGTAATGTGTTGGAATATCCTGTTTAATATAACAGGCGGAAACACCGCCAGACGAAAAACAGTAGTGTGGAACTTTAATCCACTAAAAAACACCCTTCTAAAAATAAATCATAAAGCTAGTCGGAAACTGCTAACCATTAATTTTGCTCTAACCTTTTCGATTATTTACAAGCTTTTGATATGGCACAATAGCGTACTAACTACTCATTGTTCCAGATAAAAAACATCAAACTAGCTGGGGAGGTCTTGTACGTTTAAGTCTCCTAACAAAGTTTTGATAGTCAACCAATCGAGCCGCCTCGATGTTGACATGATTGGATAAATGCATTTTATGATTGGCTGCTTGCTTTTTAATTTCGTCTGTGACACTTAGGATCGTGACATCCCTGTGTATATCGGCAGTACAGACATACCAAAGGGCGTTTGCAATGTCCCGTAATACCCTATTTTGAAATCTTTGAATAGATTGGATATGAGTCTGCGCAGCACAGCCCCATAACTGAATACCGTAAACCCAGACAGGCTTAAATATTTGATTATATATCAAAACTTTGTTGTATATATCAAAACTTCTGATATTTATTTTTGAAAAAAATAAAAAATAAAATAATTTTACGTTTAACCTTTTTATATTTTGTTTTATTCTTATTTTATTAACAATAATTAGTACCGCTTCGACCAATTGTTACAATAATAATAATCAATCTTTTTAAAAATATCAGAAATTAATATAAGTTTAGGAAAACTTCACCTGAATAAAAAAACTCGATTTGTAAAACTTCATTTCAGCATTTTCAACACGCGCAACCAAAAATTCATTTTCAAAAGTTACAAAATCTGCAAAACAGCATTTTTCTATATTTTATTTTTACGCGTGTTAATTTGCATAACCAAAAGTTCATTCCCCAAAAGTTGCGAATTCTGCAGAATAGCATTTTTCAATATTTTATTTTTGTGCGTGTTAACTCTTCCACCCTTAAAAATCGAGTGTTCTCACTCGATCGGTGTTACGAGAACGATGTGCTGAAGAGATTTCTTTTGGAAAGTAGAGATTTTTGATTTGTGATGCACCATTTCTCGGCACTGTTTTCGGTATCGTTTTGGATGCGGTTACATTTGCTTCGGATGCGTTTTCCTTTGAAGCGACGTTTTTCAATGCGACTTCTACCTTGGGTTCTATATCGACGATCTTTAGCTGTCTTCTTCTTCTTATGGTGATAATTATCGACGCTACGAATATTAGTATGACAATGGTGACTGGTCCGACACTGATAGAATGTAAAATTCGACTGGTAAGTAATTCACCTTTCAGGAACTCAATTTCTTGGGTGTTGTTGATGTTAACATCTCTTAGTGATTCTAAAGATAAATGTTCATGCACTTTTTGTCTGATCATTTGGGGTTGAAGGATAGCCGGTAATATTTTGCTGGTTGATAATTCTTTTGTGAAAAATGGTTCTCCGTCGATTGTGACTGTAGAATTTTGAATAGTCAAGAGGTAAGTACCATTGATGTATTTCTCTTCGTTGTCTATTAAGATTACTCCTTTATACTGGTTAAGGAGGATGATACCATCTTTACTGCTTCTACACTAGGGATGTGATTATTATTGGTGACATTACAGGTGGCCGTTTCTCCTCTTAGTAGTGGCAACACGCAGGTGGAATTTCCTAAACTTTTAATGTTATTTTTATTACATATTCTTATGTGACTTAAATTCTTACAATTTTTTACAATTTTAAATGAATTATTTCTACT